AAGGATTTGTAGCCTCTTTCTAAGCTATAGAGCTAACAAAATCCAAGAAGAGTTCTAAATTATTTACAGGGGTCAGTTTGGACCAACTAAAAAGGCTAACTAGACATCTGCCTCGCAAAAGATTTCTAGAAGTTGAAATTCCATCAAAACATCTTTTGTTCCTCTCTGTCCATAAACACCAAAAGATAACACCAGGGATCATCATCGACATACTCTTGATGGCTTTCTCAACATCCCGTGAACTCCAACTTTCAAGAGCATCCCTAACAGAGAAAGGCATGACCCAGGAAAGACCAAAAAAGCAACAAAACATATTCCAGAGGTCTGAGGCGGCTGGGCAGTGCAGTAGTAAGTGGTTGACATTTTCTGTGTGCTTGTGGCAGAAATAGCATCGGTTAGCAAGCTGGAGTTTCCTTTTGGAGAGATTATCCTGTGTGAGGCATGAGTTATGCAGTGCAGTCCAACAGAAACAGATCACTTTGGTAGGTAATTTTGTCTTCCATATATGCTTCCATGGCCATTTGTCAATCATTGAGTTCCTTGAGCATAATCAGCCATATCAAAATTAGACCATCGAAACATTACACATAATCAGGAAAATCGTAAATCTTCAAGCTGCAATGTTCTCCAGTTTCTTCAGACTGATATTTTCTTGATGCCGTAATGGTTTACCTTACCCTTCAAGCACTTAAGGTTGTTCATTTTCTACAGTTACCTTTTCCAGACAGAGTAATCTTCCAATGCTTCCTTCGCTTCTCATCTCATGCTCTGAATTAATTTTTCTTGATTTCTTTTATTTTAGAGAAGCTTACTTTAGGATTTTATGGCATAGGTAGCTTCTTGAAATGATATTTCTTGGTACTTCTTTATGAAATTTGGAGTAATACGAAAAATGTTTTCTCCAATGTTTTGTTGGATCACTTTCCTTGCGACATTAATAGCCTCATAACCCTTTTTAACAATATTTTGCTCTCTAGATTCTCTGTTTTAACTCAAAGGGATTACAAGTATAACATCTTCTTTTCTATACAGGTCCTCTTCATGGGATTCCTTATGGTCTGAAGGACATCATAGCAGTACCTAACTATACCACAACATGGGGTTCAACATCTTTTAAAGTCCAAGTTCTTGATATTGAAGCTTGGGTTTATAAGAGGTATAACTAATCATGAAATCAACGACATATAAGGCCAGATCTAAATATCCATTCTTACTGTGCGTGTATTTGTAATAATCTAGATATGGTTGATGCAGGCTGAAATCTGCCGGGGCAGTTCTTGTTGCAA